ACCGCAGCGAAGGCTAGAAGCGCGAGATCATAGCATAGCCAGCTTCCCTTAATGCACGAGAGCTTGAGCCGCCGAGACGTGCCCTAGAGCAAGGAGCTCGCATTTGTAGCCTTTTCTGCGGTACATCATAAGGTGAAATAGAGTATAGTTGGATCAAGGTACATTAAATTTTTTCCGCTCCCAAATGGAAGGGCTGACGTGCCGCGGAACCGTAGCACGTCAGCCGAATCCACGTCGCCTATTGGGAAAGAGCCTATACCTCACCAGCACCGCGATCATAACCAATAAATAGCCGGCGAATGTTTCCTAAACGTTTTATTAAATAATATTCAGATCCAAATTTTGTAGCATATTAGAGATGTGAAGAAAATTGCCAAATTTAATAATGCTGAGAGCCAAGCGCCATCTATTGTGTGGTAAACGAAGCAAGCGCAGTAGGGCCGACAGCGTCGCTCAGTTACTTGGTCGCGACGACCAACGAACGTTTATTTTTCTACGCGTTCTTCTCGCGCGTGCCGACTTCAAGCGGCAAGAAAAAAGTAAAAAGTATTTGAAACAGACCACGACGAACAAAAACGCTGGATCTACAAACACCCGAGAAAAGCTACAACGGCCACGAATCCACCGACTCCGACCAAGCGAGCTCGGCAGAATATAGGCCTAGCAGGCACTCCGACTCGGCGCAGCGTTGCTTCAGTGGTACTTGGCCAAGACCGTCTGCCCACGACCGGCTGGCGTGCTGAATGGAATATGCCCGCGCGGCCCTTGTGGACCCTTTCCGTATTATAGTTTGATCGCTGAACACAATTTTAGATTAAGAGGTGAGGTCAATCTCTTCTCCTTGTCATCTCCTTGTTTTCCGACGCAGTGGTGACGAACACTGTCGTCGAAAAGGGACTCTTGTCGACTCTATCTTCTTGTTTTGTGTGATATAGAGCTCAAATAAACGCCGTATGGGTTACCTTCGTAACACGGTATGAAAACTTTGTTACAGACTTGTACGTAGTTCAACTATTCTACATAAGTTACTTTAGTTTAACTACTTTTCTGAGTAGTTTAGTAACTTTCAATTACATTTTTATTTCGGTAATTAGTAGTTTAGTTTAATCAAATTTCTCAATAGCAAATTACTTTAGAATTTCAGTGGTTGTTTTGGCCATCAAGAAATATTCCTGCGCAAAAGAGATGATACGTTGAAAAGTCAGCCGATATCTGCAAAGAGGGGGAAGCATGTGGCGTTGGAAAGGGGGGGGGGGGGAATGGGTTGGAGAGTCCAAAACTTCCCAAACCCTTCCCAAGCCCCCCCCCCCCCCTCTGCAACAACCCTGCTACGAAGCGCAGGGAGCAAACAGGCACGACGTAAGAGAGGCCGAGTAACTGCGGGATCAGCGTCGAAGACTAGCGTTTCTTTGTGTCCCGAAGCTCAAGGAGACTTGACCCATTTGAAGAAAGGGCTTGCTTCCCGCTTCTCCCCAATGTAGAAACTCTCGCCCACTACAGAAGGTGCACACACTGCATCCTCACTGAAAGGAGGCAAGGAAATGCAGCACCAGCTCTGAAGCTCATCTGGCGCTCCCGTAGTTTGTACTGTACTCAAAGAATCACATGCTAAAGGGCAACGCAAATAATAATATTATTAATCTTTATTTCCATTTAACAGAATGGTGGAGCAGAAGGGAAAAAGCTTCAACAAGAAGTTTGACTAGCCCTCAGCAAAGGCAACGCAAAAAGGGGACCTTTTTGCGTCGCCTTTCCTCCCAAAACATAGAATATACAGATCTTCAAATATTTGAAGATTGTCCGAGAAATTTTAGTAATTCCCCCGTTTTTATATAAAAAAAATGATAAACAAGGAGTGTTGTGAAGTGCTCTAAGTACATGGTACTTAAAGTACTACTGTTTAGAAAACTTGTACGTTACTTGAGGAAGATTCTCTGGGCATGTACTTGTACTTTCCTAGGAAAGTAAAACTCCCGACTTTAATGTACATTCCCAGAGTTTGAAAACAAAACAATGGCGTATCGTTTGTGTGAAAACGCGCTCTTTCAAGACGTGATCTGATCATTTCTCTGAGTGAAATAATGGCGGCTATAAGACCGACACAAATAAGTGGCTTATAAGTTGATTGTGTCAAATAGCTCGTCAGCGAAAGTAAAACACCTACTTTGTGGCGACTTGACTTTACGCAATATTTGCTGCCATTTCCGTAAAAAAACGGATGCACCTCCGATTACCTTTGGAGCAATGCGTAAAAGTTAAACAAAAAATCACTGTATAGGGAATGAAAGAGCGCCATGAACGATTCTGTTAAAACTACTGGCACTTTACCTTGAAATATATCGTATTTACAGTACGTTACTTCAAGTACATTGCACCCGGTGTACTTACTACTTTACTTGAAGTACACAACCTCTAATTTACTTTGTACTTTACTTCAAGTACTTTTTAGGTGTACTTTAAGCAACACTGTAAACAAGCAAACAATGTCTAAAAATGAAGCTCAGGCAGTGCTAAACCTCAAAGTAGAAGTTACACATTTGCAGTACATCATTCACCAAACAAACAAGGAAGTACAAAAGAATTAGGCATGCAGAAGCAGAACAAGTTGTTAAAGCATTTCTTTGAAAATAACAATCCGATCCATATTTGGCTAGCACAATTTCGCTAACCGATCAAAGCCTATGTACTTTCTTTTTAGTATAAAAACATATAAAAGTAACTTCAAAGTAACTTCAAAAGTAATTTGCAACTTTTTTGCGGTAATTAGTAATTTTCTCAATTACTTTTTATTCGAGTAATTTCTACTCTACTCAAATTAATTTTTAGGTCAATGCTCAGTAACTTAACTTAATTGCTTTTTTGAGTAACTTGTACATGTCTGGTTTGTTATTAGTATGCCATTTTTATTCTGACACAACTTCACGTCACTGTCAAGCTATAACAGTTCGTGGGAGCTACGTGCAATGCCGGTCCAACCTTCATTTGCCGAGTGTCACGCTAGTATCGAGTTACAATCGTAAAAGATCGGTCCCGAAGCGCTTACCAACAGCGCGAATACAGCACTTCCATCAAACGCACGCGTCCGCTCCGAGTGTGAACAGGTATTTACGTGGCTCTTGCTGACAATGTCGTAGTTCAAACGTATCTTTTTTAACGTCGGCTCGCTCCTGCATCTCCGAGGCCGTGAAAAACGCCGCGGCCATTTGTTTCCATCTACGTCGCTTTGCAAACGACTGACACGGGCCGCCTTTTATCAACAATGACAGTTGGGTTGACCTCTGGAGTCTTCACCGGAAGACTCGCCGCACTTTCCAACAGGCATACCGGCGTATGGGACTAGTCCGATGCTGTCGCTGTACCGCAACATATCTCATTCATTTTCGCTGAGCTGCCATGTGTCTATGGCTATCGCGGCGATGACAGGCGTCGATTCAGAAAATACGTCGGTGACATCAGCGCCATCAGCGCACTAAGGCCTACCGGCGCACCCCCAACGGGCCGCCGCTAACGCTCTCATTCTCCTACTGCCGAGAGAACTTCTGGTTCCTGTGCCAGAGTACGTTATGACCGTCCAAATTACGCCGCAACTTGTTTTGCGCTCAGTTGGAGAGAAAGTAAAAGTCGATATTTCATTAAATTTTTGTGTAGAAGTTAAAGGAGCTGTGCAACGATTTAACATTGAAAGAATTGGCATTTTCTGCTTTTGATATTGTTCACTGTGTCACAAATGGCAGAAAACACACCTCCTTTCATAGAAATGTTGCGATTCCGCCACGTAATCGCGAGGCAAAACTTAGAATATTTCCCGACCTGCAGCCACGAGCGGCGGCCATGAGAAACAAGCGGCGTGACGTCACTTGGGTAGTTATAAAAAAAATAGCAAGTTGTGCGAATACCCGCTCGATAAAAGGTAACTCTTCTATAAATCTTGTAGTTCGAACATATATATAAATGCGTTAAAACCCTGGTATCATCGCCAAAGCTTTTATTATACGGAGTTTTAGTGGCACCATCTATCCTAGGTCCATAAAACCGCGAATACAGCGCCGGACGGGCAAGGACGGGTATGGCCGGACCCGGATGAGACTTTCCTCCTTTCACCGTATATTTCGCGGGCGCCCGCCAGCACGTGGTCATGCGGTCGCGAGCGGATGAGTTCTCGCTGCTCGCTGATGGCTCTAAAGACAGAACTTTTCCGGAACCCCGCGCCTACTGAAGTGACGTCACTGCGCACGTGACCCGGAAGACGATGTACGAGTTGAGAGGCGGCAAAAACCTGGATCTTTTTCATTTTTTAAAATAAAAACTAGGGCATCCAGGCAAAATCTGTTTTCTGTAGTTCACTGCAGAAGTGTCAGGCATCAACTTCCACAATTATTTAAGCAAAGCCCTGATATTGTTGCACAGCTCCTTTAATAAACCGAGACAAAAACAGGTGCCTGTTCGGCATTCAGTGACCGTTGAAGGTTTAATGTAAAAACCTATCAGGCAAAAGTTAAAAGGTCATTTCATGGTCCCTTTAAAAAGGACCGAGATGAAACGCCGTTCGTTGTGGTATTCAGTGATGCAGGGGTAGAACATCGGGCTCTTAATCAAGAGGCTGTGGGCTCGATTCTCTATAGGAGAGGTGTAGTGATAAGTGATTTTGCCACCAGGTGGCGCAACGTGTGTTCTGTCTAGTATGCTTTGATGGTGGGTTTATCGGGTTGTCTTATCTTGTGTTATGTGTGTTTATGCATCTATGATGTCACGTGATATAGGTTAATAAAAGAGCCGCCGTCCGTCAACGACGTCAGAGAACTACGGAACACCCACCAGGCAACATGTCTTTGTCTCATTCTTCGTAAGCGCCGAGCGCGCGGGGCCGCGGCTTTCTACCCGGCCACATCATGTGAGTGCTGTTAGCGTCCTCTCCTTTCGTACCGCCGTGTAGAAGAGATTACTACAAATTTTGGCGACGAGGTGGTTAAAGGTTAACCGTAGTTCTCTCCGCGTCTCAGTTCACTGGCCGTAAAAGCCGACGCGATTTTTTTTTCTTCCATTCATTTCGTTCAACTTGGAACGCGTTCGATGGCTGGTCAGAGTGGGCCCTGACAGCTGCATCGTTTCCTAGAACCTTCTATAACTTATCATAGATAATGGATAATGGAACACAGCCTCCTGTAGCTGCCGGCATGTCAGTGCTCGCGCCGGTTCCATCACCGCCCGACTTCTTGCCAGTTCCGGGCAAGCCCGAGCGTGCATGGCCCGCGTGGAAACCTGCTTTCTTGATGTTCCTTGAGGCGTCCGGCTTGGACAGTGTTGCGCCTCGTCGAAAAAAGACGATCTTGTTTTCCATGCTTGGGGCTGAGGGCCAGAGAATTGTTGATGCTTTTCAGCTCGATACGACTCCCGCTTCCGAGGAAGGCGATGTTTTTTAGGTCTTTTTGAGCGCTATCGAGAAGCACTTTTAGTTTTTTGGGTGTATCGCGCTGGAACGCCAAAAGCTTCGCGCTCGCGTCCAACGCCCGGGAGAAACCGTCTCGGAGTACTTGACCGCTCTGCGACGCCAAGGGTCTTTTTGTTCTTATGGGGACGCTTTGGAAGAGAGGCTTGCTGGTTTTTGGAGGGGTTGGACTCTAAGCGGGTCCAAGACCGCATCCTTCGAGAGTGTGCGGGGACGGGGGTACCCACTTTAACCCATGTCGTTCAGCTCGCGCTACAGTACGAGCAACTTGAGCGCACCACAGAAAGTTTCCACCTGCGAGCTCCCAGTGCTAGCGGTGCGGCGCCGGCAACCGTCGAGCGCGTCTTTCGGCACGTGCCCATTGGAACGCCCGACGTCCAAGATGGAGGTCCATGGCCGGCTCCTTCCCGAAGTCGGTGGCAAGATGGCCGGTCCGGCGTCACTTCCAGTCACGTGCCCCGGACTTTACAACACCACACACCCCAGCGTCTGCGCTACCCTCCTCCTTCAAGGCAGGGAGATGAAGGAGCCGGTGTTCCCTGCAACTTCTGTGGTCGACGCGGCCACAACCGCAACGAGTGTCCAGCGTCTGGTGTGGCATGTTTTTTTGTGTGGAAAGACGGGCCACTTTGCGGTGGTTTGTCGGAGTCGCCGCCCACCGTCGGCGGCCTTCGTCAGTGACCCGCGGCGAACGTCGTTCCCGAGCCGTGTCCAGGGCTCCGGCCGTTACTTCGCTGCCCGACCGTTTTCACGGAATGTGTCGTCAAGAGGTAACAATCCTGTGAACATTGTTGGGCCATCCCTGGTGCCGGAGATGCTGCCGAGCGTCCCCGTTGAGTCGGCCGAGCAAGCAGGAAGAGGTGTTTATCGTCGGGATGCCTTCATGGCCGACATTAAGGTAAATACAATCCTTCTTCGTCTCCTTGTCGACACTGGCTCTTTTGTGTCCATTCTGAATGAACGAGACTTTAATGAAGTACAACGGAGTTCCGACATTCGACTATGTCCGCCCTCAAAAACTCTTGTTCACTACATGCAAAAAACACTATCCCTGTGCTTGGATGCTTCACCGCTCAAGTTGTTTTTAAAGATCGTTATGCACCGTTGGAGTTTTTTGTCACCCGGACTGAACGATCGATACTTGGCGTCGACGCCGTCCGAGCGTTGCGCATGAGATTATCAGGAGATGAAAATGATTATGTTTGTTCGCATGTTGATGCAGCTCAGGGAGGAGGAGTTCCACGGCAGTATGTGAAGTCGGCGGTTCCCCTGCAGCGACGGCCGTTCACCATCACGTACTGCCAAAACCGCCAACCGGCCGGATCCAGAGATGCAAGGTCTCGGTCATCTTCTCTTTTTGTACCTTCGGGTGCCAACGTGTCTACATCGTCATCGGTCTCGGAAGAGACCACTCCGAAAGTTCCCGCGGACTTTGACCACGATTTGTCGACAGCCGCGATTCCGCGACGCCATCCTGAGAGCCATGGGCTCCATCAACCGCATCTTCCTGAAAACACAAGTCCTGAGAATACAAGTCATAAAATCACAGCACAACTGCTACACCATGAAAATACAAATGCATCTCAAGTTTCAAGTCCTTTCCTTCCAGATCAGTCCAAGTTGTTCAAAAACTTCGAAGAATTTGAACATCTCTTTAGTCCAGGTTTGGGTTTGGTCAAGAATTCCACCCATACTATCAAGCAGCGTTGCAACGTGCCACCGGTACAGTCCAAGCTGCGCCGTCTTCCGATGATCCTGAGGGATGCTGTCTCGGAAGAGATTTTCAGACTGGAGGGAGAAGGTGCGATCGAGAGAGTGGATGCCTCCGAGTGGGTTTCACCTATCGTCGTTGTTCGGCGGACTGACGGACGTATCCGGATGTGTGTCGACCTCCGTGCGCCAAATCAAGCGGTGGTCATCGATTCCTTCCCGCTACCCCACATCGATGAACTACTGGGTTCCTTGCGTGGTGCCAATTGCTTCTCCAAGCTGGACCTGGCGTCCGCTTACCACCAAGTTCGTCTCGACCCGGTGAGTCGTGATCTCACTGCTTTTATCACGCATGAGGGACTGTTCAGATTCAAGCGCGCTTGTTTCGGGTTGGCTTCGGCACCCGCAGCGTTTCAAAACATCATGTCAAAAATACTGAAGGATTGCAAAGGAGTTCAGTTTTACCTTGATGATATAATAGAAAAAGGAAGAAGACGTGTTCGAAATAGGAAGCCCGATTTGCTCGCTCCGCGTAAGCAAACCCTTTTCCTGCTTTTACTGTCATTCCTGCGTTCTTTCATATTTGCAATTTTATATTAAAACGTCCCCCTGGCCGAGAATGCGGCACCGCACCAAGCTGTGACCCACAAACAACGGCCACCGGCTACATGGTCCCGATTACCACCCTCGCAGCCATCAGGACCCTGCGATCAAATGAATCCTTCGAATCAAAAAACCTCAACCATTGAGATGGCCACTCAGATTCCACCACCCAAGAGAGTGCGTACAGAAGAGATATCCAATGCAGATGAGGACAAATTATCCGTTAACAAAATGGACGACGAAGACGACTCTACACCGTTCATCAAAGTGTCGTATCAGAAGAACAGGCCATCTGGAATTGCGGTCATCTTTAAGCCGACATCACCTGAATCGTCATTTTGGAAGGTGAACCCAAATTCAATTGCAAAAGACATCGTTGCAGTAACGCAAGAAAAGGTGTTGTCACACAAGATCAACAAGGATGGAAGCCTCTCTGTGAACGTGGCATCACTTGGATCCGCAAACAAACTACTGACGCTGCAATCCCTAGGAAACATCAAGGTCTTTGCAACCGTGCCACAGACATACTCAAGAAATTTAGGAAAAATTAAGAATGTGCCTCTTGAGTATCCAGACATTGCACTCCTCGAGTACTTTCTTGACGCCGGGGTAACGTCCGTGCAACGACAAGTTGCATACCTTCGCAAGGAGGATGGGACTGTCGAACCACGACCATCTGGAAGCGTTATCCTTGTGTTTCGTCCCGACCGCCCAATGCCCCAGCGCGTGTTCCTTGGCTTCACTAGTCACCCCGTTGAAGAGTACTTTGGACCACCGGTTCAGTGCTTCAAATGCCAAGGATACGGCCATGTTGCCAAATATTGCCGAGGCCCACAACGTTGCAAAATCTGCGCTGGACCGCATCACTACAAGAACTGCACTTCTAAACAAGAACCAAAGTGTGCCAATTGCGACGGCAAGCACTCAGCATCCTTCTCCGGCTGCCCACGGAAGCATGCAGCAACAGCAGCAGCTCGCACAAGCATAATGAACGGCCGAGCTCTCAGGCGCCGTGCGCCTTCACCTAACCCTGAGGTCGTCCGACTCCCGACGTTGTCTCCGACTCAACAAGAAAAAAACAGAGAAACCTACATACGCCGGTGCAGTAAATCGTCGTCCCAAAGCACGTGTGGCACATATGACTACAGAGACACGTAGCAACAGTGTCGCACAACAAAAGAAGAATGCCGCCGAGACATCGACTATGGATGCGCCACGTGCAACACCGAACGTTCGATCCTCAGCGAACCATCGTCCATCGGCTTCTTCGGAATCTGTGCCTACGCCACGATTTACGTCCCGTCAGCAAGGTGACATAAGTCAAGTATTGCTACCAATGTTCTTCGCAGCACTAAAGGCCATTCTGAAAATATCACCAGACGCTAACGATCTGCCAGAAGTAAGGGCGTTTCTCGCAATGGAATACCTGCTAAAGGCTTCAAATGATTCTTAAAAAAATTGAAAATAACATCGGGTGCAATTGAAGATAATTATAAAAAGGCCACTATTTTCCAATGGAACGCAAGAGGATTAAGGTCCCGATTGTCCAATTTTAGACAGCTGGCTTTCAAGTACAAGTACCCTATTATTGTTATTTGTGAGTCCAGGTTGCCTTGCAACATGCGTTTATCAGGATACGAAAAGTTTGACTCCTTACGTACTAATGGGGAAAGTCGCGTGACTCTCTTCATTCGCAGAGAACTTACGTACGTGGCACATATTATTCCATCCCACCCGGACAATGAGTATGTTTGTGCTACAATTTCTGACGAAAAATGTACGTGCTCATTCACCATTATAGGAGCATATATACCTCCAAAGTACAAGTTCGACAGAGCACGCTTAGAGAACATTCTGAACATAGTCCCATCGCCACATATAATTACAGGCGGTTTTAACGCACACTACTATATATGGGGCAGCCATCGCACAAATCCTCGGGGTAGGTGCCTTGCTGACATAGCACATACACACCATTTATCCCTATTAAATGATGGAAGTCCCACATACCTCCGGGGTGCAGAGAGTAGCAGTTGCCTGGATTTGACATTTGTCTCATTTACTCTGGCGTCTCAAGCTATTTGGTTCACAGATATTGAAACTCGGGGCAGTGACCATATACCCACATACACAATTATACAAGGATTCATCACAGGCAACAAGAGTCATGTTGTCAAACGAGTTGATTGGTGGGAGTTTGAGCAGTCAATGAGAGGTAAATGCAATACGCTGACTGACCTTTCTGAGTTCGAAAAAGCTGTCATTGACTCTGCAAACTTATCAACCCATAGCCATAGCCTTCCACTTAAGCGAACAACTATTGACGCAGAGTACGAATGTCTTCGGGCCATCCGGCGACAGGCGGAGAGGCGTGCTCGACGAACTTAAGAAAAAGACGATATTCGCGCGGCAAGAAATCTGCAGAAAAAAATAAGCCGCCATTTTGACAAGCTCGGTCAACGTAAATACAGGGGATTTTGTGAAAATATTGATCCCCGCAAGCCACTCTCCGCGATTTGGAAAATAGCTTGAGGCCTTAAGTCTCCTCCTCAACAATATCACCCATTCCGAGCACTTGCGTTGTCGGCGGCATGTTCACAAAAGGATCTTGCAAACGAGTTTTGTGCATCTCTCACGTCGAGTGTTTCCATGCCGAAAAGTCGTCCTGTCTCTACCTCTGCAGCACCATCAGATGTTGATGGCTGCATGGACGATGCCTTCACTCGTGGCGAACTAGATGCCGCTCTTGTATTTATAAAACCAAACTCATGTCCCGGTCCAAATGGGATAAAATATGCTTTCTTAACACATATGGGGACTGATGCTCGCAATTGGCTGCTGGAATATTTTAACAAATTATGGACAAATGGAGAAGTACCTAATGGTGTACTCACACGACGGAGATTTGCTCGCGAAATACCCGCGGCGAAGCGTACACGTCATCAGAATTTGAGGTCACGTGTTCTACGTGACGCGCTGCCTGCCTCCGCGGCGCTGCCGCGATCGCCCCGGAGAGGCTGTCAGCGAGTGACAGAAGCCCCGTTGGCCCCGTCGTACGGAGTGCGGAGAAAGATGGCGACCAACGGTCAAGTTGCCGACATCGCGCTCTCCGAGGAGGCATTTTTTACGTTATTTTTGATGGTTGAAGAGAACGAATGCTTGTGGAAAATCGACCATGAGGGGTATAAGAACGTCCACAACAAAGACCGTATTTGGAAGGAAATATGCAGACGGCTGCAGGAAAGGTTTCCGAACCTGAATGCCCTGAAACCAGGTACGTAGAATAGAACCACGTGCAAACGCTCGTTCTCGCACGAACATCGCGGCTGTCGCTCTTTGAATATGCATTAGTTTTAATTAAAATGTATCGGCCGTGTACAGCGGCAATATTCTATTGCTTCAATACAGCTCGCTCATCCGTAACAGCCCGCTATTGCTCGAGCCGTCAGTGCGCGTTTCTTTTTGTAGTATTTCTCAAAAGTTTGGAGCAAACCCCTCTAGTCTCCGGAACGGCTCGCCTCCGTACGAGGATCCTGTCACCGTCGGCGTTTGTTATCGAGGTGCGAGTGACGCAGGACTAGCGTTCCCGCAGCCGTACTACGAGAGCGAGCCCTCGTAGTACGGCTTCGAAGACTCTACTCCTGCGTCGCTCGCAGGTGTCCACGCTCGCGTGGGCTACCAACTTCTGACCAAGTCCTTTAGATCTTCGAATCGGTGTAAAGGACCAAAGCTTACAACGTGGGTATATGTTACTAATACACACGCTGATTACTTTGGAAGTCACCCACTCATGTTGACAGTGCGACCGTTTCGGCATGAATGAACTTAAATTATAATCAACTATCAGTCCCATCTTGAGAGCATGCATCTGGTGCAGCGGAGTCCAGTTTTTTTAAATGATTTCTGAGACATTACCGTTTCTAGCTTACTGTACTAGTTTGTTTTTCTCCTTTCAGATGAAATAAAAAGACAGTTCAACAACAAAAGACGTCAGTACCAGGACGAAAAAAAAAAGAAGACCTTCGTCAGAAGTGGTCAAGCTGCTCCCACCTACGTTGGAAAATGGAAGTTTTTTAGCGCGCTCTCTTTTCTTGAGCAAAAGTGTCCGCCACCACCCCAAGGACACGTACTGGGAGTAGAAGAGGTACAATCCAACTTTCATATGAATAATTTTTAATGCTATATGTACTCCGGATTCCGGTCAACTCGTTAAAATCCTGTTCGTTGAAGGGCCCTTTGGTTGACTCCTTTAAAACTCAAATTTAGTATGTCTCCATTAATGTTATGAAAATTCGCCGGACAGAACATTTTATAGTGGGGCTCTTAGGCAGATATACTTATTGACATTCAGTCTGTTTGCGTTTTCCAACTTCCCACAAATGTGCAGATTGAAACACAAACAGCTGGTGCTTGGTTTTTGACCAATCACCCAGAGGCAAAACGCCCCGAAGTTTAAGATGTACCGACCGAGGGTCTAACATGTCGAAACAGGAGTCGCTTGCAGCCCTAATCTGGTGCATTGCCCCTGGGCACGTGCTTCCCCAGCTCGCGCATGCATGGGACGCTTCTTGAAAAAGGTTCATTGTCACTTCCCTAGAGACGGTTTCTATGTGATTGTGTGATTGTGCCTATATTAATGCACAATAAATTGCAATACGTGAAATTGAATTCGTAGAATGGAAACGAGTGCTGATTTCAATTTGTGTGGTGCTGGGAATCAGTAAAACTGTGTTCACTTCTAGCTTTCAAACGGTGGTTTCAAGTTTTACCTAGCATACAAAGCATCAGAAGCAATCAAATACCAACAATTGCAAAGTCGTTTCGTCAGTGGACGTAAAAAAAACTCATAACAAACTTGGTGACCAGCATCGACGATGTGCTGTACTACATCTTCACACGTATTGTCGGTTGCCTTGGAGATGTGCTTATGGGTAGCGGTAATTGCATTTTTTTTTTTTGTGTGTGTTCAGGAGCTTCGTGAGGAAGACCTGGCGTTTTCTGTGGTTGACGGGGAGGCTCCAGTCGACAGTCCGTCTGAGCCGGACAACTTGGAGGACGACCCGCAGCCAGAGCCACAGCGCGAGCCACAGCTGCCGAAAAAGAAAAAGCCGAAGAAGGGCAGCGACGACAGCTGTGAGGGCAGGCTGGCCGCCCTCAACAACATTGCTGCCGCCTTGACAGTACCCACGGAGGATGACGAGTGCGCCATTTTCGGCAGACTCATCGCTAGCCGCCTCAGGCGTCAGCCAGCTGAAAGACAAAGCTGGTTTCAAGTTTTGATGCTTGAGTACGCTACCACTCTGGAGAACACAGAGATGCCACCCAAGTAAATGCTGTTGTTAATGTAAAAAAATATTTCATTGTATAAAATTTGTTCCTTCCAAATAATGTTGAATCTGCTAAAATATGAAATTACCTATGCCATCACAAATTGTCGGCTGCACAGTTAAACACACCAAAACACTGTAAAACATCCATTATTGTGTTGCTCTTCTAACCCGAGGGAACAACCAAACTTTGAATGTATGAAAAAGAAATCTCTTTTTTGTTTATTGCTGAATTGAATTGTAGCATTGTCAAGCGACCTACATATGTCGGTCTCAGGTGAACGGTAGACCGGTGACCCGAACTAGGATAACCCAAGCTCCCCCCCCCCCCCCCAAGATACCCAAACCAAATCTATTTCCTAGAGTTGGGGTAACAGAAACAACTTTTTTTTTCAATTTTAGTCTGCTTCTGGGCCTCACCTCCCAGAATTCTATGGCAAAGCTCCTACAGTGGAAAAATAATTAGTCAACTCGTTCCGGATGAATGCTGCAGTTGCACCATACCGGGCACCACATGCCCCTAGAGGCAGCAACTTGCTTGTTGTTTTCGGTTTGTCAGAAGTGGCCGGCAGTGGGGGGCTCGAACCACGCTTGAGGAGGTTGTGCAGAATGCACGTCGCCTTGATCAGGTCTCTCACATGGTCAGGCTCGGCGTAGATGGTAGTATGATACACACGAAACCTGTTGGCCAGCTGGCCGAAGCTGTTTTCTACCACCCTCCGAGATCTTGAGAGGCGTTCATTGAAGGTGGCCTCTTCGTCCGTTAGGTTGCTTTTTGAATGCGGCTTCATAAGGTGCTCAGCCAGTGGAAAGGCATCGTCTCCTACAATCACCGCCGGCAGCTGAAGCGGCGAGTTCGGCAGAGCCACTGTTCTCGGCAGGTGTGCATTGCCTCTAGCCACCTGTTTGCCCAGGGGAGTCCTTGCCCAAACTCCACCATCGCTTGCGGAGCCATAAGAACTGGCGTCAACGTAGATGAAGTTGTATCTTGCATCCGTGAGTGCGAACAGCACAAGACTAAATGTCTTTTTATAATTGTAGTAGAGACTACCAGACCTCGCAGGTTTAACGATCTGGACATGTTTGCCATCAATGGCAGCGACGCAATTGGGGAACTGCCAGATCATCTTGAAGTCTTCGGCCTTGGCCAACCACTCTTCCTCGGTGGCAGGTGTGTGGACTAGGTGGCCCAGGGTGGTGCATATTGCTGCGCACGTCTCCCACAGTATTGCGTGCACGGTACCGTGGCCAAGTCTGAACTGGTAAGCCAGGCTTTTCTGGCTCTCTCCTGGAAAGTAAGTGCACATATGTTTAGACTTGAAACATCGGAGAGGGGGGGGGGGGGGATAAAATTTAAAATTTTGCCATCCAGCTGCTCTAGTCAAATTCCAGATACAAAGTAATCGATAAATAAAATAGATGACAACCAACAACTGTGAATTGGGTCAAATCATTTAGCATCGATAAAATGAGCTATACAAATTTTGATATGCTGATATGCCAGCCCCCAAAGTTATCGACGCGTAGCGAGGACATTTTATATCGCTACAGTTTCGATTCAGGTAGTATGCACATGCTCGACCGTGTTGCGAAAGCACATTTCACGCACTGCTGCACTCGGCTTTATTTGAGGGTTGAAATCCTTTCCCCTGCTACTCTACTCTTCGATTAAGGCTTTGTTTCAAGCGACGCGCTTCCCAACTGGGTACACACACACTTCACTATCATTATGATTGGAAGTTCATAAAGCAGCGTCAAAAGAAATTCTTCATTAAAACGCGACGCAAATGTGCTCGTTCTGCATGGATGTCGTAATGAAGAAAGCTGAACCCACCTGTGGCTAAGAATCTCAATGTGAGTTCCAGTCTGGTGTCGGGCTTGATCGACTCCCTCATGTTGGTATCTTCTTTTTGAATTAATGGCCTTACGAGGCCCAGAAGCTCTTCGAACGTGCCCTCATCCATCCGCAAGAGCTCTCGGTACGCCTTGGGATCAGTTAGGCGAAGGTCGGGCAGTAGCGTGTTCTGAATAGCCCTTTCCTTTCGCAAGAGCTATTCTCTTGCCCAGGGTCTCGGTTGTTTTGCGGGCGCGTGATCACAGTCTAGACTTTCATCGATTAGCAGGGCCATGCCGATCAACTTACGCTTCGAGGCGGCCATGTTTGAATACTCACGAACCGGCGACCGGAGCAAAGCGAACGGCAATACCCTCGCTTGAACGTAGGGGGCGCGACGGTCTTTCTCTTCGCTGCGGCTGACGGGCTCACCCCGTCGTGCGAATGCTCGCCCGGATATTCCCGATCTTCCCGCGCCGCCTCCTCACCCTCGTGACTTTTCCTCCTCGCTTTTCTGTGACGTATCCGGTTTTCTCCCAAGAGAAATCTCCGTCGTGTGAGTACACTATAACACATGGAAACGGGCAAGAATTGTTCCATTACTGAAGCCTGGCAAGTCTCCCTTACTTCTATCATCATACCGTCCTGTTGCTCTGGCAAGTTGTCTTGGCAAGTTGATGGAGAAAATGATTAATCGTCGTTTAGAATGGTATCTGGAAAAACGAAGAGCTTATTCAAAAAATATGCATGGTTTTCGTCGAGGAAGAAGCTCCGTGGATCCTGTCCTTGATCTCGTCACCTACGTCGAAGAGGAAAGATCTCAAGGGAGAATCACAATAGCGGCATTTCTCGACATCAAAGGAGCGTTTGACCGTGTCACTCATAATGCCATCTTTCAAGCGCTACAGGAGGTTGGCATCGGAGGCCGTCTCTACAAGTGGATCGAAAGTTATCTCTCAGATCGCACCATTTATATGACCACGCAAGATGGAGACACGTCAAACCATTTCATCTCTCGGGGTGTACCCCAGGGAGGCGTGTTAAGTCCAACCCTATTTAATTTCACGCTTATCAGGCTCGTGCAGTCGTTGCCACCAAATGTAAATGTATCCTTATACGCAGAAGATATCTGTATATGGGCTTCTGGCTCCACTCGCGTACAAGCTAAAGCCAGAGTACAATTAGCTTTAAAGAAAGTTCACAGATACCTTTGCGTCCGTGGCCTTGAAATCTCCGCTGCCAAATCTGCTGCCATTGCATTCACTCGAAGGAACATGGACCGTTATCCACTTCGCATTTTTAAGTACACAATTTCATACGTCAAAAGTCACATATTTCTTGGCGTATATATTGATAAATGACTAACTTGGACCCCGCATATTAATTACCTAAAACGGAAGCTGGTGAGTTTCATTGACCTCTCCCGCTTCATTAGTGGCACAACGTGGGGAGCGTCAGTGCGGGCGTTGCTACGTCTCTATCAGGCTTTATTTACTGGATTGCTTAGGTACAGTCTTCCAGTTATCAACGGCATGTGCCGTACAAACTTAGGCACACTTCGAAGCCTTCAGGCACGCGCTCTTCGAGCCTGCCTTGGGCTTCCAGCATGTGCGTCAACAATTGGAACTATAGCAGAAGCACGCGTCATTCCTATAAGCATCCTGCTCATGCAGGAAACTCTAAGGCTTCATTTAAGACACTTAACTCAGCATGAAGATCACTCTCTCGCCACCATAGAATCTGCACGTCCAAACTCGAGCTACTCCAAGGCGCTGTCCCAGGTACGGCGATACTTGCCGGGAGATCTTACACAAGCCACAGTTTGCACGACGCCTCCATGGAGATTTCCGGAACCAGATGTCAAACTTGATATTCCTGGTATTAAGAAAAAATCAAATATGCCAATGGTCGTGATTTTACAGGTTACTATGTCCCATATTTACGGTAAGCATCTCTCAAGAACACATGTCTACACCGACGGCTCATGTACCTCTGATAGTTCTACTTGCTGTGTAGTCATTCCAAGTCACTGTAGAACCGTGCGATTCAAGCTAAGCCACGTAACTTCATCTACGATGTCAGAGCTAGTGACAATTCAACAAGCACTTCAAATCATCTTGACACAATTGTCCCACTCGTGGACAATATTTTCTGACTCCAAACCGGCCCTCCAAGCAATATCAGCATTTTTGCGACGCGGTCAAAATGACCAAGTGGTTTTCGAAATAATGACCCTTCTTATGCAGTGTTTGGATCTAGGACACACTGTCCAGTTTCAATGGATACCAGGCCATTGTCGTTTACCTGGAAACGAGGCTGCAGACGCAGGTGCGAAGTCAGCCCATTCTCTAGATGCAACTATTACGATTCCGTATTGTCGGAATGACATTAAATGCCTTATCAATCGTCACGCCGCCAGCACAAGGAGAAATCTATGGCATGATGTCTCCTACCACTATGCTCCCCTCTACGCGTTGGACTCAAATCTTACCTTTCAAGTTCCACGTGATCTTCCCCGGAGGACAGAGGCAGTCATACATCGCCTCCGGCTCGGTGTCGCTTATACACAGTCCTTCCTTCACCGCATCGGGCAAGCCAGAACATCGGACTGTCCAACGTGTGAATGTGATGAAACCATTGCTCACCTATTGTGCGACTGCAAAATCTACGACGCGGAAAGAGAACACCTCAAGAGTACGTTGGTGCAACTAGACAGCCGACCGTTTTCTGCCATGAAAGTGCTCGGAACCTGGGGCAGCCCTCAGAATGCAGCGAGGGCCACAAAAGCTTTTCTGCGTTTCCTAAAGGAAACGCGGCTGAGCTTCTGCCTCTAAAGGACACACGTACTGTATTTGTAATGTGATCTATAGTTTGTGCTCTCGCGTCACTATTTCTTTTTTTTTTTTCTTTCTTTGACATGTTTATTGTTCTATGTCCTCCTATCCTTTCCTTCCTCTTTTAACTCCCCACTACCCCCTCCCTAAAACAGAGTAGCCAACCAGGACTCCAACCTAGGTTAACCTCTCTGTTCTTCTTTTTCCGACTCTCTCTCTCCCTCTCTCTGATGATATAATAGTCTACGGTGCTATGCAGGCAGAACACGACGAGAATCTGCGTCGGGTCCTCTCTTGTATCTCCCGAGCCGGGATGAAGCTAAATCGTAAAGGTGTTTTTCGAGTTACAGAACTTTCGTTTCTGGGACACCATCTTTTCGC